AGCCTGTCTGCTATCTACAAGGCGCAAACCAGCAATGTGATGGAATACTCCCCACTTGCCTGGTTGAGTGCAGCCCCAACAACACTCAAGAAGCTTGACACCATCCAGGACAAAGCAGTCCACTTGATTGGCACATCTACAAGCATCCACTCCCCCCAACACCAGCACTCAGTACACACTGCTGCTGCTATCTACAAGATGCACTGCAGAAATTCACCAATGATCCTCAGACAGCACCTTCCAAACCCTCAACCACTTCCATCTAGAAGGGTAAGGACATCAGACATATGGGAACACCACCACCTCCAAGTTCCCCTCCAAGCCACTCACCATCCTGACTTGGAAATATATCGCTGTTCCTACACTGTCGCTGGGTGAAAATCCTGGAATTCCGTCCCTAACAGTGTTGTGGGTCAACCTACAGCAGGAGAACTGCAACGGTTCAAGAAGGCGGCTCACCACCACTTTCTCAAGGGCAACTAGGGATGGGCAAGAAATGCTGGCCAGCCAGCAATGCCCACATCCCATAAATATATAGAAAAAAAAAGTTCCTTACTTTCATACTTTATTCCTTTGGCAATAAATGCCAACATTCTATTTGGCTTCCTTATTACTGCTGTACTTGCATATCAATTTTCTGTGATACGTACACAAGGACACCCAGATCTGTCTGCACTGAAACACTCTGAAGTTTCTCTCCATTTAGATAAGTTACTTTTCTACTCCTCCGAAATAAATATATGGATAACCTCACACATATCCACGTAAGTGGCATCAGCCAAAACTGCCCATTCACCTAAGCTATTCATATCCATTTGTAAATTTCTTATTTCTTCATTGCAACTTCCTTTCCCATCCATTTTAGTGTCATCTGCAAATGTGACTATAGTGCTTTCTATCCCCACATCCAAGTCATTAATAACCATTGTAAATAGTAGGGGCCTGAAGACCAAACCCTGTGGCACCCCATTAGTTACATCTTGCCAACCAGAAAAAGACCCATTTATCCCAAGTCTCTGCTTTCTGTTGGACAGCCAATCCTACATACAAGTTAATAAATTGCCCTAACTCCAGATGATCTTACCTTGTGTGCAGCACCTTGTCAAATGACTTCAGGAAGTCTAGACACACTATATCTACAGGATTTCCATTATCCACCTTGATCGTCACATTTTCAAATAAATTCTAGCAAATTAGGCAAACGTGATTTACATTTCATAAAACCATGCTGACTCTCCTGGATTGCATTTTGACCTTCCAAATGTCTTCTTGTTACTACCTTAATAATGGATCTGAACAACTTCCCAATGGCACAGGTTAAACTCACTGCCCTATAGTTTCCTATTTACTGCCTTCCTTCCTTTTTGATTAAGGGCAATATATTAGCATTTTTCCAATCCATTGCAACCTTTCCCACATCCAGGGAATTTTGGAATATCATCATCAATGGATCCACTATCACTGCTGCCACTTCCTTCAAGGCCCTAGGATATAGGGTCCCCAGGCACTGGGGACTTGTCGGTCTTAAATTCTAACACTTTGCTCAGTACTTTTCCCCCATTAATGATGGCTGTTCTAAGCTCCTACCTTTCCATAACCTCGACATTACTATTGGGATGCTGGTGGTGTCCTACTCGAGGCGGAAGTTGCAGGTGGTGATGCTCCCATGTATCTGCTGCTTTTGTCTTTTAGGATGGCAGTGGCCATGGGCTTGGTGCTGCCCAAGGCCATCTAGACCCAACAATACATCACTGAGTCCATTATCCAGGTGAACACTCCATAAGACTATTGAGGGAGCGCCGCACTGTCGGAGGGCCAGCGCCGAGGGAGCATTGCACATGTGGATCATCCTGAGGTTTTGTAAGGCAAACTCTTTGTACGCCCGTGATTGAGGCAGGAATTGGCCCCGAGAAAAACAGATTTGAGACATTCACACAGAGCTGCAGCCAGACATTTCCACTCCCTTATGTTTAGCAAGTCACCAGATACTTGAATTGTGATCAAGGTGCCTCTGGTGGTAGGAAGCTCATCTCCTGGTCACTGGATAGGAATGAAATTTCACTGGGGCCTGGAATTGTAGAGTTGGAACAGAGCCCACAGAAACTCAGTGAGCAGCAGGGACTCCAATGCTGCGTCAGTGAAAATTGATTGTTTCTCGAAAGCCAAAAAATGGTTTCAATTAAACACACAGCATTTTGATTATTGCAGAAGGCTCGGAGAGTTCCTCAGCTCCCACCAGCTATAACCCTCTCCACATACGGTCCTGTGAACTGTGTAAAAGGAGACGCCCTGCAGCAGTGCTTCTGAACAGCTGGCTGGCTGGCTGGCTGTGTCCAGCAACGAATTACTCCTGTGACTGGAAACATGCAGGAGGAGAGGTTCCCAGGTCAGTCTGACTGTGGAGTAACCATCGAGAGAGACACACAGAGAACGAGAGAGAACACGAGGAAGGGAGGGTGGGCGAGCGAGACAGAGAGAGACACAAAGTCTTGAAGAGGGGCACACTGGCTCTGGATAGGGAATTCCTACCAATCCCTAGCCCTTGCGTGTATATGTATGTATACACACATACACATTGCCATTCAGTGGGGCTGGGTGTAGAACTGTACACAATGCGGACTTTTTGGACTTGCTATGGTAATTCAGTGTCCCATCATGGTCATAACATACAGTAGACAATAGAACGCACTTTCATTTTGTAGATCAGGAGGAAAAATGAAACAAAATTAACACCTTGAACAGCACAAACATGCAGATGTCACCAACAAACCGATGCCATTTTTCCAGCACAACCAGCAGCAATTCAGCTCATCTACTCCATTCTGGGGTTTCTACTCCACACAAGCCGCCTCCAACTTCCCTCTCCATCTCATGTATCCCTCAGTTCCTCCTTCTCTCCTCTGTTTTTCCAGCCTCCCCTTAAATACATTGACAGCATTTCCCTCAAGCACTCTGGTGAGAATGTGGAACTCATTCCCACGCAGTCTCTGGGGAAAGAGCTCCTGATTGGATTTATTAGGGATTACTGTAGATTATATTTGACATTCTACATTATTCGGCTAAATCTTGCTTTTCACCTGCCATGCCTCTTTCAATCACACGCAGACCATTCTGTGCTGCTCCAGTGCTCTATGATCTCACACACATTGCACATCACTCCTGGCTGCTGAGAATTTGCTGGTTTTCAGCAAACTGTCACCTCTAAAACGTTATCTACTTAGAAACAGGTCAGTGTCTGTTCAACCACACAGCTATTAGCCTGACAGCGTGTCACACCACATTTTACAGCTGCCTATACATAGTTTCAGCCACAGAGCTGAATAAAATATTGCAAGGACCTGTTCCATTCCTTTAGAGAGAAACAGGACTATTCACACTCCACTGTTAGCAGCTCAAACTGCTGTAGAGATCTCCTTTCAAACTGCACTCCACAGGGACACACTGAAGAGGAACCCAAATGTATCAATCTGGCCCCAGGCCACCAACTCTCCTTCGCAGCTCATTCCCCTACCTCTTCCCCCCACACCCATCCCCCCCTCCTCCAGCCCCACACACATGCCCCCCCAAAACAGCCCATGTGCACCCCCCACACCTGCCCACATGCATCTCCAAGGAGTCACATTAAAACAGCAGAGTGTGTGTGTGTTGGGGGAAGGCCCTCAGGGGCAGCTTTATCTCAATTCTGGTCGTACTGAACATTGCTGTACTGGCTCTCATTCACCCAGCCATGACAGAAAGAGCTTTACGACGACAGTGTGTGTTGGGCAGTGAGTAGGAACTTACTTGTACCAGTTTGGTTGGGGTGGGGGGTCGTGCGGTGGAGGAGGATAAATGGAGCGAGGGAAACAAGGGTGAGGTACAGATGTACAGTAAGAGGGGAGCGAGGTGGGGAGCTGGGGGGCGGCACGAAGCCCCCAACTAAGAAAAGCAGCAACAACATTCTTCCAGCTGCTCTCACTAATGCAGGAAGCGGTACGCAAACAGTGACATAACCTGAGGTTGGGGGGTGGGGAGAGAGAGAGAAGGTGTGTGGGCGTGTGTGTGTGTGTGGGCGTGTGTGGGGTTGTGGGGGGGGTTGTAAGGAAGTGGGTAGACAAGGATCTTAATGCTCCTCATCGGCACGCAACTCTGCTCCTCCTATCACCCCTACCCAGCACTGACTCTCCTGCTCCAGGGTCTATACTGTGCCCCCTCCCCCACCACACTTCGCCATTTCCTAGCAGCCCCTGGGAAAGGGGAGTAGTTTCACTTTTTGTTCAGCAGATCATTAGGGAGCTGATAGATTACGCAACACACTGAATTCTTCACAAAAGGGCCAGACAAAATGAGATTAAACACAAAAGATTTCAAACGACAGTCAGGAATCCTGCCAACATTCAGCTTCCAAGAACACAAAAACATCCCGGCTCATAGCCCAACTTCCAGAGAACAGGCAGCTCCTCAGGACTACAAAAGGAGCAAGACACTGGGCCCTTCCCCAGAGAGGACAGTGCCCCCCTTCCCCACCCAGTCTCTGGGGAATGGGGTGGTGGGGGGGGCTAGAAAGAGAGAGACAGAGACCCCTACCCCTCCTTAGAGGGACACCACCCACCTTCAGCTTATCCCTGGAGAGATCACACAGCTCATAGCCCCTCCCAACACAGATTCCTGGTCCCTTCCCAGAGAGATTTCTGCACCACTACAGACCCCGGCTGATGCCCCCTTCCCCAGAGAGGGACCTAAAGCCCCTCCCAGGCTGATGACCCCTCCATAGAGAGATCCCAACCACCACCAACCCCCAACCCCTCCCAGGCTGATGACCCCTCCCTAGAGAGAGCTCCCTGATCTCAGAGGATCCAGCCAGACTCCAGACTGTGGGTGAGTTCAGATTTCTCACAGTTACCTCGGTTTCTTGAGGGGTGTTTGTTCAAGTGGAGGAGGACACCACCTACTGCAGTGACTCAGTGTCAGCTGCTAGCCCAGACACAGTGTTACACCATAACCAGTACAGTGTTACTTACCTTCCCAAAGTCCCTCACATCAAACAGGTCAAACGGGTCGAAGAGTTCACTGTTCCTCATGCCAAACTTATCGTGACAAACTTTCAGGAATGTCCGGATGTTCTTCAGGCACAAAAACTACAATGGGAGAGAAATAGTGCATTCAGAAAAAAGGCTACACCAATGTAGACCAACCATTGCCCAATGAAATAACTAACCTTGTGTCAGCATCGAACAACAAACTGTAAGGAACAAAAACAAAGTTGCTAGAAAAGCTCAGCAGGTCTGGCAGCATCTGTGAAGGAGAAAACAGAGTTAATGTTTCAGGTCCGGTGACCCTTCCTCAGAACTGATGGTGGCTGGGAAAACGTTTTTCTGGGAAAGCCTCTTTTCTGCATATAAACTGATGTTTTCCCAGCCACCATCAGTTCTGAGGAAGGTTCACCGGACCCGAAACGTTAACTCTGTTTTCTCCTTCGCAGATGCTGCCAGACCTGCTGAGCTTTTCCAGCAACTTTGTTTTTGCTCCTGATTTACAGCATCCGCAGTTCTTTTGGCTTTTATTAACAAACTGTAAGCCTCCATTTACACTGTTACTAAGACACTTCGTATTTAATATCGCTTAGAGATGTTACATTTAGGAGTGCGGCAATGCATTTCCAGTTTTGTGGATGTTCCTGGAGTGGTTTCTTTTAAAGAGTTCATACAAAGCTCAACGAACATTGGAGGTTTTTTTTAAAAGCAAGGCTCGAGAAATAACACCCTGGTTCCTGGTGATAACTGCTCATTTTCCTATAGAACCTACGGTTTTGAACCCAGATTTTTTTTTTTTTGGCGGGGGGGTTGCAGGGCAGAGGGGCTGGTGGCACTTGTTTTCCCTGGTTCAGTTGGAAAGAAACTTACCAAGAACAAGTGGAGTTGGAGAAAAGCTGACTGTGAACAAGCTCTCCAACCCATCTCTCCCATTTCTGAAAGGAACACCCTGCACATCAATTCAAGATGAAACCCATTTGTTCTTTTGAACGAGTGATTGATGAATCATGTTAAGATCGCAGTTCCCAAGCAAGCTACATCAGAACTTCAGGGACAACCATTCATGACTTACATTTGAGCACACAGAACTGAAAATCAGAGTGAATAACTGCAAGATGACACAAAGATAAGTAGGAAAATGAACTGTGAAGACAATGTTGGAGAGGTCCCTTCTGGAATGCTGTGCCCAGTTATAAGAAAGATATTATTAAGCTGCAGAGGGTTCAGAAGAGATTTACTAGGATGTTGTCAGGTATGGAAGGTTTGAGTTATATACAAGGGCTGGATAGGCTGGGAACTTTCTCATTAGAGCTTAGGAGGTTGAGGGGCGACCTAATAGAAGTTTATAAAATACTGACATGTATAGATAGAGTAAATGGTAGTTGTCTTTTCCCTAGGATGTGGGATTTCAAGACTAGGGGACACATTAAGGTGAGAGGAGAGAGATTTAAGAAAGACACATGAAGCAAATTTTTTTGTTTTACATAGAGGGCAATTCACATGTGGAATGAACTTCGAGGAAGTGGTGGATGTGGGCACAATTACGACATTTGGATAAGTACATGAATAAGAAGGGTTAGAAGGGATATGGCCCAGGAGCAGACAGGTAGGACTAGTTTAGTTTGGGATTATGATAGGCATGGACTGGTTGAACCAAAGGGTCTGTTTCTGTTCTATATGACTATGACCCTATAAAGGAGCCTACAAAGGGATATAAATAGGTTAAGTGAGTGGACAAAGATCTGGCAAATGGAGTACAATATAGGAAAATATGAAATTGTCCATTTTGACAGAAAGAATAAAAAAGCAGCACATTATCTAAATGGATCAAGAAAGCTCATAGAATGTTATGCTTTATTGCGAGGAAACATGAATACAAGAGTAGAGAGGTTATGCTTCAGTAATACAGAGCAGTGAGACCACATTTGTAGTATTTTGTATGGAACTCGTCACTGTACTTACAAGAAGATGTTACTATAACAGAAGCAGCTCAGTGAAGGTTTACCAGACTAATCCCTGGAATGAGCAGATTGCCTTACGAGGAAAGGTTAGACAGGCCAGACCTACGACCTTTGGAGTTTAGAAGAGCCCGAGGTGACTTACTTAAAATAACTAAGATCCACAGAGGACTTGACCAGGTGAATACTGAAAGGATGCCTCTTCTTGCAGGACAGTCTAAACTAGGGGAGTCAGTTTTAAAATAAGGGGCACCCATTCAAAACAGCAATAAAAGGAAAGTTCCTTCGCCACCACCCCCCCAACCGGGTTGAATGTTTTTGGAATTCCCTTTTCCAAAAGGCAGTTGATGCAGAACCTTTAAGTGTTTTTAAGGTATATACAGATAGATTTTTTTGGTACCAAGGGGATGAAGGATTAATCATGGATATGCTGGAACATGGAGCTGAGGTTAAATTCAGATCAGACATGACCTTACTGAATGGTGGAGTAGGCTCAAAGGGCCAAGTCGCCTGGTTTGTATGTTTGACTCTAAAACGCACAATGCTTTCTCCAATTGTCTTCAAAAACATCTCATTGACCAATTACAATCCTTGCAGTGAAATATGAAAAATTTGTACATATTTTGGGGATATTTAGAGGGAGCATTTGTACTTCTATAGTTTTAGCATTATGTGTTAACTAAATTGTTACCCAGGTTGCATGCAACTTTATTGAATGTTTTCGACAATAACCAATAGTCGTGCCAATTCAGAAACCTGGTTGATAGGTCATTTTAAGTAACACCTGCATTTAATTGGTTACCTTGCTAACTGAACAAAGCATTATTATTTTGTAAGACCATGAGACATAGGAGCATAAGTAGATCATTCAGCCCATTGAGACTGCTCCAATGAAATCATGGCTGATCAAATAATACTCAACTCCACTTTCCCAATTTTTCTCCATAAACCTGGATTCCCTTTCCGAATACAAGTCTATCTCAACCCTGAGCATATTTAACGACTTAGCCTCGACAGCCCTCTTTGGTTAAGACTTTCAAACTTTCACTGCCCTGCAGGAAAATAAATTTTTCTTTATCTCTGTCCCAAACATGCAACTCCTTAATCTGAGGTTACCTTAAAAAAAATGTGGATGAGCACTTCAAATATCATAACATTCAAGGATACGGGACAAGCACAGGAAATTGGGATTAGCACATTTTCAAAAGGTAGTTATGTCAGTGAAGATCGATGGGCCAAAGGGCCTTTTCTGTCCTCTGGTCCTAGAGTCTACAACAAGGGAAAACACGCTCTCCGCAGCTACCCTGACATCCCTTAAGAATCCTGTATTTCAGTAAGGTCACCTCTTGCTCTCCTCAATTCCAATGAGCATAGGCCCAATCTACACAACCTCTTCTCATAACATAATGTCTCCATATTGGGATACGTCCAGAGGGTTCACTGGATTATTTCCGATGCCAGTATATTCTCTCTTAGAAAACAGGGCCAGCAAGAGGCAGTGTGCATGGGACCCCATACCCCAGTTAAAGGATTAACAAGGGTGGGGATTTTTTCTGTGTCCTATTTTGGAGCATGTTTTGGAACAAAAATCTCTCAGTTTCACCTTGTGTACACAACGTAAAGGCTTAACATTCTCAGTGAACTGTCTGTGCAGATTGTAGACAACAGCTGCGTTCAGACCCCAGGTTTATGACTGTTCAGGGTCACAGAGGGGACACAATGTGTTATTGACACAGAGACAATCACAGAAACAGAGAATTTCATCCAGTACGTCTAATAAATAGCGACACACTGAAAGATGTGTTCAATTTGTTCAAAACAAGGATGGGAGTTCATTCATCCTTTAGTCTGCTCCAAATAGAATTTTGCAGTTAATCTGAATGACATCAGTAGCACAGGGAGCATCAAGTATCATTCCAAAAGCCAAAGGAACTACAGATGTTGGAAATTAGAAACAAAAGAACAGAAATTGATTGAAATGCTCAGCAGGTCTGGCAGCATCTGTGGAGAGAAATCAGAGTTAACATTTCAGGTCAGGTGACCCTTTCTCAGAACTCTTCAGTGGACATTTGGACTAGGGGAGCGCAAACACTGCCGGAGGGCCAGCGCCGAGGTGGCACCCAACTGCCAGAGTTGCAGTCTTTCAAACAGGATGTTAAAGCAAGAACCTTTCAGCTTGGTGCAAAGTTCTCAAAGTTGGCTATGATAATCTCCACCTGAGCTCTCTGCGGGGCAGGTGAGTATTGGTGACGGAGAGACCAGGACATCTTAACTAAGAGACAAACCGAAGCGCCCAGTCTGGTGGTTTACGTGACATGGTTGAAAACTCTTCACTTTCTGATGTTCCTCACTCCAGGGCAGGTTGATTGCAAGAATTGTTTTGGATTTGATTTGTTGTTTTCACTATTTTCGAATACGTGTGAAAAATGTTGCTTTGCACGTTATACAGGCAGATTTCTTACCATACAAAGCGCATCAGGAGAGCAGAACAGAACAGAATACAGCATACAGTGTTACAGCCACAGAGAAGGTGCGGAGAGAGAGATCAGAATTAGCCTGTGAGGGGTCTGTACAGGAGTCTGACAGCACTGGAGAATAAGCTGTTCTTGAATCTGTTTGTACATGTATTTAAACTTTTATATCGCCTGCCTGATAAAAAGGGTGGAGAGAGTATAATTGGGATGGGGGGGGGTGGTCTTTGATTATGTTGGTTGCTTTCTGAAATTATATCATTGTGGGAATGGAAACCACCAGCTGACCCTCTTTAAATACATCCTGCATCAAATCAGGCAGAAACAACAGGGACAGAGGAGATGGTTGGGGAGATGCTTTGGGGAGTGGGCAGGCTCATACACCTCAAGTGTACGCTTGGCCTTCCACGTCTAAGTTCATGAAACCAAAGTCAATGTAGTGCACAATATTGTGATTGAGAATCGAGTTTCTGTTCACGATTATTCATTCAAAGCAGAGTTTTAAACTAACTGCAGGTGGCACTGTAAATGAACACCTACAGGCTGCAGGAACTAGGACAATCAGGCTATTGAAAACCTGCAAAGTGACCAAGCCATGCGTAGGAGTGTGTATGTCAAGCATCAGGGCATTGTCTCAGTGAATGTCACCTCATCCATCAACCAAAGCTAAAAACAC